TGACTCGACGCCTTGGAGTTTCAGGCGACATTTCTAAACCACAGATTTATAAAGAGATCAACCATGTACGTGAGCCGTGTTTGTAAGAAAAGAAAATCTAATAAAAGTCTTGATTTGTTTCTCTATTTTTTGATTTGTCGCACACAAACGGGAAGAGTTGACTTCGAGTCTGACGGTGGACAGACGAACCCCTGAACTCTGTGACTGAGAGGAAAATGTGTTCACTCCACTTTTTGAAGGAAGAGAAACCCAGAAAAAGCACCACATGTGAACGTGACGGACTGATGAGCTGCCCTGTGTGTTCTTCAGTATCAACAGTGTTTCTTTTTTGAAATATATTTTATGTGTTGGGGGTGGGGGAATGTCTTGGCATTTTATTTTCTCTTTTCCCGGAAGTAGACCCTCATCGTCTTAAAATCCAGTTATGTTCTCAAGGTTACAAATTTACATGAAAATCAGAAGGACAAAGATTTGTGTCTACACAATTTATATTTTGACTGTGTTACATAGGTATGCTGGAATATTAATATTTTTCTAGAAATACACCAAGAAATCTGCTGGTGACCATAATCTGCCAATTTTTACTTTTATTAGTTCAGACCAAACAGAAACTCAAAACTTCAACCTTGGTCTAGTAACGTATGCCTCATAGCTTATACAGTTAGGGCCAGAAATATTTGGACAGTGACACAGGTTTTGTTATTTTAGCTGTTGACAAAAATATGTTCAGAAATACAATTTATATATAATATGGGCTGAAAGTGCACACTCCCAGCTGCAATATGAGAGTTTCCACATCCAAATCGGAGAAAGGATTTAGGAATCATAGCTCTGTAATGCAGAGCCTCCTCTTTTTCAAGGGACCAAAAGTAATTGGACAATGGACTCCAAAGGCTGCAAGTAACTCAAAAGGCCTTTCCCTCGTTAACCTGTAATCAAGTAAGTAGTTAAAAGGTCTGGGGTTGTTTCCAGGTGTGTGGTTTTGCATTTGGAAGCTGTTGCTATGACCAGACAACATGCGGTCAAAGGAGCTCTCAATTGAGGTGAAGCAGAACATCCTGAGGCTGAAAAAAAGGAAAAAATCCATCAGAGATAGCAGACATGCTTGGAGTAGCAAAATCAACAGTCGGGTACATTCTAGGAAAAAGGAATTGACTGGTGAGCTTGGGAACTCAAAAAGGCCTGGGCGTCCACGGAAGACAACGGTTGTGGATGATCGCCGCATACTTTCTTTGGTGAAGAAGGACCCGTTCACAACATCAACTGAGGTCCAGAACACTCTCAGGAAGGAGGTGTATCTGTCTCTAAGTCAACAGTAAGAGAAGACTCCATGAAAGCAAATACAAAGGGTTCACATGTAGATGCAAACCATTCATCAATTCCAAAAATAGACAGGCCAGAGTTAAATTTGCCCAAAAACACCTCAAGAAGCCAGCCCAGTTCTGGAAAAGTATTCTATGGACAGATGAGACAAAGATCAACCTGTACCAGAATGATGGGAAGAAAAAAGTTTGGAGAAGAAAGGGAACGGCACATGATCCAAGGCACACCACATCCTCTGTAAAACATGGTGGAGGCAACGTGATGGCATGGGCATGCATGGCTTTCAATGGCACTGGGTCACTTGTGTTTATTGATGACATAACAGCAGACAAGAGTAGCCGGATGAATTCTGAAGTGTACGGGATATACTGTCAGCCCAGATTCAGCCAAATGCTGCAAAGTTGATCGGACGGCGCTTCACAGTACAGATGGACAATGACCCCAAGCATACAGCCAAAGCTACCCAGGAGTTCATGAGAGCAAAAAGGTGGAATATTCTGCAATGGCCAAGTCAATCACCAGATCTTAACCCAATTGAGCATGCATTTCACTTGCTCAAATCCAGACTTCAGACGGAAAGACCCACTAACAAGCAAGACCTGAAGGCTGCGGCTGTAAAGGCCTGGCAAAGCATTAAGAAGGAGGAAACCCAGCGTTTGGTGATGTCCATGGGTTCCAGACTTAAGGCAGTGATTGCCTCCAAAGGATTCGCAACAAAATATTGAGAAAAAACTTTTTTGTTGGGTTATGTTTATATGTCCAATTACTTTTGAGCTCCTAAAATGTGGAGTGTTTGTAAACAAATGTGTACAATTCCTACATTTTCTATCAGATATTTTTGTTCAACCCTTTAAATTAAACGTTACAATCTGCACTTGAATTCTGTTGTAGAGGTTTCATTTCAAATGGCATGCAGAGCCCAACTCACAAATATTGTGTTACTGTCCAAATATTTCTGGCCCTAACTGTAGCTACTAGGCTGCCTGGACAACACCCTGAAAGTGGGTGGACAACACAATGAAAGTGTGGACTTTCATTGTTGTGGCCTGTGGTGTTAGCTGGTTTGAGTATTACGTGGATGTCCAAAGGTGAAGGCAGAGGAAGCAGAGAGAAAGTATCAATTATTAAACAGGATTTTTTACTTTCTTTGTTCAAAAACATTTGTAGATTTCTCAGGCTGCGAGAAGGCGAGAGAGAGCCAGACTTGCGGAAGCTAGCAGGGAGGCTACACAGCATATAAAAATGTTTCTTGTTTTCAGCCTCCCTCGAACAGATAGAGGGATCTTGAAATGCTGTTAGCCTGATGGAGAACAACAAAGCAAAAGGTAACAACAAATGCATTCAGTTTTCCTCATGATGGACGAGCAAAGATTCACAAATCTCTCAGATAAGCAGGGTCTCCGAGAAATGGCTGTTTTCAGTCTGTGTTGCTAACCTCACTTGTACTTTATGCCAATGGAAGAGGCTAAAAAAGTTGAAATTGTCAACTTTTCAGTTTTTCTGTTTTGAAATCTTAGAGATCTAGTTGTGGGGGAATCTGCAGTGCAGCAGATTTTTTCTTTTTCCGTCAGTGGGACGTAGCCTTAACAAATGAATTGATCTGACACGGATTTCTCTCAACATGTCGCTTTGACATAACTCTTATTTATTTTTGATATGACCTTCATTGAGCTATTTTGTGATATTTTTTGATCTTGCACACTGAATGGGGCAAAAATTGTTTTATGGCAGAGCTGTGATGTATGCAGCGCAGATGAAAAACCTATTTCAATGAAATTACAGTTTCATACACATTTCAAAGAACCAGAAAGAAAGCATAACAATTACAAGCCGGCACTCAGCGCAGTTTATGCACATTTAAAATCTAGGTCGAGTTCCTGAATGAAACTACCTCATGCATGCTGAACAGCCTGTGCCCCATTCCCTGAGGCTTAGGTATTTCAGGTGAATGCACACTCTGCTCACTTCTCTGTCTGGCTGGCTTTTTTTTTTTTTTTTGTTCTTGTTATTTCAGTTAATGCAAGTGAGTGATTAGGGTGAACCAGATCCCGAACACTGTGTTTTACTCATGCCCCATAATCCCACAATATTAATATTTGGGGAAAGAACAGAGGCATTGTTGACAGTGTTCTGTTTGCCTCTGGCAAAGATGACCATCAACTCTCCAACATGGACGGCGCCTCCGCAAGACGAAGCTGCAACGCTTCAGACATGGAGGAAACTGGAAATGGGGCGATGACATGTCATCATATGATGCTGTGAATGAAATTAGCACTTTGCCTTTTCCCAAAGCGTTCCCTTCGCATTAAAAGTGGAGAACGTTCAGGAAAGTGAAACGGATAGATTACTTCTCTCTTCGGATTGTGTTTTTAAGTAAAGCCGTGCAGTTTATCCCTGAATGTGTTTTCCCAGTGTCTGAGCCAAATGAATTAATAGTATTGGACCTGCAGCCAACTTTTTCCTTCTCCAATGTATCAGTAGCCTGTTCTAGTTTGCACTCTAGTGTACCATGAGCCAGAAAGAACGTTTTAGTGCCAAATGACATGCGTTGTGAGAAAACCTTAAGTGGCCTCGCAAATAATGTGCTGACAGATGCTGCGTTGCTGTTAAATCCTCGAGAGCAATACACACTGTGGGTAGAAAAGAGACGCCTCCAGCCTCTGGTACGCAACCAAAATGAACAATACCACAGCTTGATATTGTAAATTTTAATGGTATTAACGATTGGAGAAATGGAAAAACTGCTGTCTGAGGTCATCAGGGCAACAAACTGATCAGAGAAATATCTTTTCTGCTCTAAGACTTGAGCTTTTTCAAGGAAATTTTGTCTAGATATGCTACAGAGATGTCTCAGTATGAAGAGGAGCAAATCAAGACCCAGTATATTTTTATTTGCTCCTCTTCACTGGACAAATCAAGATATACATTTTTGTGATGCTGGCTCTTGGTTGAGCTGGAGACTTTCCTCTTTGCTGCCACTTCAAGGTTCCCTTTGATCGTTGAAATCTTTGACACTTTTTGGACTCTCATACTTGGTTTGATTAAATTGTTTTCAAGTATATTATAGCTGTGACTCCATTGACCATCTAACTGCGCAATTTGGAAATGCCAGAAATAAACTTGCTTATTTTAGCTAAACGGTTTTGATGCTAACACAAAACTGCAGTGGAAACGAGTTTTCCACGTCACTCAATTTGTGAACGACCAGACTTTACTACTGGCAGAAACGACGATGAAGCTGATAGGAAGTGGTAGGAGGTTGATGTTCTGTAAGGACCTATCGCGTGAACAAACTTAAAGGAAACGCCGAAATTGGTTTTTTGCCATTAGTGGAATATCGACAACATTTTGTGTACGTTTGTAAAGAAAACGCAGCTCGAGTGTTTAAAACCTACAAGGACCCAAAGCTCTGCTTCTTACGGGGCCACCAGCTCTCAAAGCTGCCACACACATAACTGGTCTCTGTTACATCATAACCGGGTAGGGAAATAAAAAACAGCAGCATGAGCTCCAGGGTGAGAGAGGGGAACGAGGTGGAGCCTCCGGCCTCCCCGGCTTGTCTAAGTCTCAGTCTAATCCTACATTAACAGGCCGACAGATTAACTGGAGTTCACCTCTGAAACAGGTCAGCTCCTCCCGCCAGGCTGAAAGGAGCCGGTGAGGAAGCATGTGATGAGTTCAGGGGCAATCTGGGGTTTTTTTCCCCCTTCCTGTTCATTTTATTCATAAAAAAAACAAAAAACACATCACGCAGCAGAACTTTGATCCTGAAAGACAGTAGAACCAAGAAAAGCAGTGGCTCATGTTAAACAATGACATCCTGAAGCATTAGAACGTACACAACACCGTGTATAAAACAAACGCTGCATTACGCTGTGAAAGAGTCATAATTCATAATAATGACAGTCTTTGCTCCTCCGCATTCAAGCAGAACCCAGCAGACTCGGACAGAGTTCATCCCAGGAGGCAGAAGCAGGAAGAATGTCCCTCCTGCTCGCCGTAGCGTCCAGTAGAAGTAAAGAAGCTTAATGGACAAATGAGCCAAGAGGACATCTGTCCAGGAGATGACGACAGGAGCGTTTATCTCCTTTAATGTTGCACACAGATGTGAAGGAAGATACGAAAAAGAAAACAACAACAACAACAAAAAAAAAAAACAGAAAGCGCTCTTTATAGAATATTGCATTGTTTTAATTCTTTATGCAAGAGAGAAGTGTCAGTGGTTTAGTTTTATCCATCTGCACAAAATGTCTGTCGCGGGTAAGTATGAACAGTGTTGTGTGCTGTGACCTATGTCCTGTTGGGAGGACCTTAAACTGGCGGTATTATGTAAAATCGACCTTTTTTCATCATGTTATATTATTCCCCCTGTCAAAAACACACCTGGAGTGCTGCTTTGATTCTCTCCATGCATATTTGAGGAATCCTTTAATCTCCATGGCAACTAATTAGCTGTGCAAAACGCCTGCGCGGACTTAGCCCCGCCTTCAAGGACAAAGCTCCTCCTGTGAGCTGCGGTTTCTAAGCTTCCGAGCTTCTGCCTCACAGAGCAGCCCGCCCCCTCTCAGCTCCTTCAGACTAGCCAGCAGCAATTAGCAAACACCTGGTGGAACTGCATATCCGCTCAGCTCATTACAGGGGCTACTACTCAGCGAATCACCGCTCAAAATGTTAATTAATGATAAAGAGTCACTAGAGGAGCCGTGTTGTGATGACTTCCTGAAGGCGGCGTTTCAGGAAGAGGAGTTTTTCAAGCAACAGACACAATTTCAAGTCTTTACATTAGGAAGAAAGATTTCTTTTAAGTTATATGTGACAGAATAATGACTAAAGGTGACATAGTTACTTGATTGTTCTATAAAATAGCACTACATGCCTAAAAATCACATAGTGCTGCCCCCTTAAATAAGCCATTATTGGTTGAAAACTCCAGAATGTGGCTGAATCAGGACAATTTTACCAGGTATTGCAAACACTTGATGACATTGCCATCATTACTAAATGCCTCCTTATTGCTTAAGGGGGCATTTGGATAATTACTTATCCATGTGAAGCCTGAACATATTTTTTCTCTTTCATTAAAACATTTTTTTTTTTCGGTTCAACTTTTATCTCCCAACCTTTAATCCTCCTGCCGTCCTAAAAGAGGCGGTCGTGTCCTTGTGTCCCGATTTTTGCAATAGTTTCTTTCATGATTTCTGGAACTGACGGTCTGACGGAAAACCATAAACTCTACGTGACAACAGGTCATCAGGGAGGGCTGCATGTGACAGGCAGGGAAAAAGAGAAGAACTCCATGAGGGGGTAAATACCTTTTGAAATTACCCCATAAAGCATGAAGTCTGGGATACATGGAGCACAAGGATTTCAGTTCCAGTAGAAACGGTGCTTGCCATGTCATGTCCCACGTGCTTCATGTTCTTGGGCGAGAGGAACGTCCAAAAGCCAACTGAGAGGCTCCAAGCCTTCAGACCTCCTGGGAGAAATAAAAGCACATTTTAACTCTGAAGCGGTATTAAAACTCTCGGTCCTCTTCTTCACGTACAGCGCAGACAGAGAGCAGCGTGTGACGGGCGGAACAAACCACAGAAGAGCCACGTCACCATGAAGCAGAGCAGCGATTGAACCGCCTGTGACCCCCGGCCTCCGGCGCCCGCCGACAGCTGACCCTCCTCCGGCTCCGGCAGCGTCGCGTTGCGCGCGCTCTCGGTCCCGTTCCCCATCTCCTCCCTGAGCTCCTGCTGGAGCAGCTTGGAGATGAGGCTGTTGAAGCGGTTCTCCGTGGTGGGCCGCACCTCCGAGGACGCCGTGGTCAGGTTGAGCTCGGCGGGGTCGACGCAGGTGCCGTTCGCCGTGGGGAACGCCACCTGGCTGAGGTCCAGGCCCGCCACGGAGGACGGCGAGGCGCACGGGATGTCCCGCACCAGCTTGTAGCTCTCCATCCACTGCTTGAGCCAGTCCAGGGCGCAGTCGCACTGCCAGGGGTTTTTGAAGAGGTACAGGTGGCCCAGGAAGTAGACGGGCTGGAAAACGCTGAGGGGCAGCGTGGTCAGGTTGTTGCTGTTCAGGTGGAGCGTGATCAGGCTGGTCAGGTTCTCGAAGGCGCCCTCCTCGATGTTCAGCAGCTGGTTCCGGTCCAGGTACAGGACCTCCAGCTCCGCCAAGTCACCGAACCACGTCTTGGACACGTTGATCAGCTGGTTGCCCCCGAGGTTGAGCATCTTGAGGCGGCTGAGCCCCTTGAAGGCGAGCCGGGGCAGGTCGGTCAGCAGGTTGTCGTTGAGGTAGAAGTTCTCCAGGCGCACCAGGTCCTGGAAGGCGTTGTCATGGATCACATTGATGCGGTTCTCCTGGAGGTTCAGGTACCTGAGACGAAGAGGAAGAAAACCAGTGGCCGTGTCGCCGTTTATGGCTCAATAATCTTCCGACTACAAAGTTTTAACAATCGTAAATGCAGGGACCTTCTGTCTGTCTGTGGCTCAATAATCTGAGAAACAAGACCTCTAATTTCTTCTGAAATGTTTCAGTTGCTGCATTTCTTTTACTCATTTGACTTCCAGTAAGTGAGAACTCTTTATTGTACAATGACAATAAAGGAAGTCTAAGTCTAAGTCTCTCTAATACTCTGATGTTCAAGGTGATGTGGCAAAGTAGGGTTGTTAAGGTAACATTCTCATCCAACCTACTTTTACATCACAACCTTTTTTTTTTTTTGTGGATTTTACGTAACAGATCAAAATAAAGCAGGTCAACGTTGAACTGGATGGACCATGAAACATGGATTCCTTTCCTTCTTTTTTTTCTTTTCACAAACACCACATCGCTTCATTCAGACGCCCGTAGGGAGGGATCGGAACCCCGCAGGCGTCCCTCACCTCAGGCTCCCCAGGCCCAGCAGCGAGTTGTAGGCCACCGCCTCGATCTTGTTCCTCTCCAGGTAGATGTGCGTCAGGTTCTCCATGCCCCGGATGGCCCCTGGGATCCTGCGGAAGTTGTTCTGGAAGCACAGCAGCTCCGTCATGGCGGTCTGCTCGATGAAGATGCGGTCGGGGATGCTGAAGAGGTTGCAGTCGGACAGGTCCAGGCGCAGCAGCTTCTTCAGCCCTGTGAATGTCCGGGTGTGAAGGTAGCTGATGTACTCGTTGTGGGCCATCTTCAGCTCCAGCAGGTTGGAGAGGCCCTGGAGGACGCAGAGTTTGAAGTCTGGTTGGTGTTTAGAGTCAGTAGTTTCGTAGCTACAGCAGAATTTGTATAAACGGCAGAAAATCAGTGAGAAAAATGTTTTAGATGTTTTTTTAAAAACTTTTTTTCAAAAGCTTGCGTAAGTTTGGTCAGTGTCTCAGATGTCTGTCTTTTGGACTTCCTTCCACAAACTCCTGAGAGGTTTACTGTCCCATCTGAGTTAATTGGACTCACTCCCAGAACTCACTGCTTCGTGGTTTGAAACATTTTTACCGAGTTTGGACCACGATGGGAATGTCCAACCATCATGACGAACAGGTTCTGTTCAGATTGAGCCCAGAATAAAAGACAAAGGCCCCATGAAGCTGGTAATGCAAGGAGGAGGGCAGTTCTCTATAAGAAACATAAAACGCCAGATTGCTGTAGGAGGAACTGGTTTGCTTCATAAAATCGGAAAGAAATTATGTGGAAAAATTAAAGCAACGTCCATAGATGTTGGCACAGATTGGTCTTCCGAACGGACAATGACCCTGAACATCCAAACTGGTCATGCGGCGTTTGCGTCGGTTCAATCGCCACAAAGTCCTGACCCCAGTCGAAGTTCTTATCGGGTCTGAAAAGGCGCGTCAGTGAGGCCGTCTACAGAATGTTCTGACCGGAGGAATGGACCGGAACTATAGGAAAATCCTGGGAGAAGCTCCTGGAAGGAAACCCAAAAGATACAAATGACCAAGTTCATTTGTTGTCTGGAGGAACCTGGATCCTGCAGAAATGAGACTTGGGGAATTTTACAAAATCTCTTGATAAAAATTCTACAAAAACTTGAGCTTTTAGGTTCTTTAAAGATTCTAAGTGAAATCTTTGTACCTGTAAACTTGTGGAGCAACAATCAAGGTTAAGAGGTAACAATCAGAGACGTATGCTACTTTTTCTATGACTCTCATCACATTGAATTACATTTCAAACCCAGCTGTCTGGCTGGAAACGGATCGCTCAGTAAGATATGGTATGGAAAGGAAACCTTGAAAGCTCCCGGGGTGATGAAGGAGATGTTGTTGTGGTCCAGAGACAGAGACCTGAGCGAGGGCAGGGCCCCGAAGGCCCGCTCCGACAGGAACTTGAGCCGGTTCTTCTCCAGGTTGATGGCGGACGCCTCACAGGGGAACTCTCTGGGCAGCTCGGCCAGGCCGGCGCGGTCGCACAGCACACTGCAGCTCTTCTCCTGCGTGCAGGAGCAGGACGGCGGGCAGGCCCGGACGCACGCCCACCGCGCCAACGCCGACTGAGGAAGCAGGCACAGCACGGACACTGAAAGGCAACGGGTGAGACAGGGCAGTGAGGCTCCATCAGGGTGGCCATGGTGTTTTCCTCCATGAGGGAACTTTGTCCCTCATGGAGGAAATTCAAGAACCAATCAAAGAACATTGGTAGGTTATCCAGAGCTCATTATACAGGCCTTCTTGTTTTCTCTTGGGGTTTATGTGTAAGATGATGAGATGCAGAAATGTAAAGTTGAAGGAGACGTAAAAGTCCTTACAGATAAAATCTAAGAAGTGTTGCATCCAAACCCCTTTACTCTACTAGCCAAAATTCAGTGTAAATCAGAAGTGTTGCCCAAAGGGCATCAGGGAGTTAATTATCTTACAATGCTGAATGTTTAATTTATTTTTTACAGAAACTTGACCCATGTCTGTCCTCACACTTTTACTGAACCGTTCACTTTGTTGCATTCGTATCAGGACCATGAAGTCGACTCCAAGGTCTACAAAACAACGCATGGTACCCTAACAGAGGAAGTTCAAGAACAACATCAATAGATGAAGAAAACATGGAAGAGTGAAGAGCCTTCCAAAGGCTAACCTCGTGACACTGCATGGCTCCCTGAAGTACCAGAATGTAAATAAGAATTTGATTCAATCTGGAGCCAGAACCTGTTGAAATCCAGACCTACTGGATTTCATCTGGATGATCTCCAGCTGGGGATCTGATCTAGATTCTGTTCTGCTCAGCAGATTCTCAGAACAGATCAATGCCATGACTTTCTCCAGTTCAACAGAAACAAAGTAAAGTTATTATCTTTGGACCTAAAGAGGGTCATGTAGAAACATCTGGACACAGCCGGAAACTAGAGGTCAGGCCAAGCACTGGGTTAGTGATCTGTACAGATTGAACCACATTTCTTAAAAACAATTAGCTCTTGGTTACTTTTAGCTTTTTGTAGTGAGATTATTCTGATGCCATGAAAAAATGAATTCATATTACAGCGTTTCAAACGTTCCGGCTGACGTGCGCTTGAGTCTGTTGACAAACGACAGAACGAAACAGAGGAGCGACTGGGACTGACCGGTGAAAGTGAAGGAAGTCATTCCTGCCGTCTCTCATCCGGAACATGCCAGGATGAACGGAGGTCTGGAAATGCGCAGACACCAGCACCAGCTGTCACCGATCGCACGGATATCTCAGGAAATCATCAGCGGGAAGAGACGCAACCGGAGGTGATGGGAGTGTGCAGCCCTTTCTGGAGACCTGCGTCCATGTGTGTTGAAGCTCCCTATCCAGAACCGCACGGATGTGTCCATCCTGTCCGTCCCATGTCAGTCCACATTCTACTGCACAGCCGGGCAAATGGAACAGAGCCTTTACATGAAACACTGCTCCCTGTGTGTGTGTAGGTGCGTGTGTGTGTGTGATGGGACACACGAACACACCAAAAAGCTATCTCTTAATGGCCATCAAATCCCCTGGATGGAGTGATAGAAGGAGGGATGGGGTTGGAGACGGCCGGTTGGTGGGATTACACAAGTAAAGAGCTCTTATATGGAAGCAGAGTCACAGATGTAACTTAACACACACACACACACACGCATACACACCCACGCACGCGCGCACACACACACACACACACACACGTAGCATGAAGTTTGAGGTTAAACTTCAAACTGCTTCTGTTTTAGTGGCTTACTGCCTAAGTCTACAAGGCGATCTGATCAAACAGGTGATCAATAGTTTATGAAACAGATCAGCGGTTGGAGCTCTCTGACTTCACTCAACTTTAATGGCTCCATAACCTGCTTTTCACAACATGACACACAAATCATACGAAATGGGTGTCACCAACAAGAGGCGTTACGAAACCTGCTCAGCGGACAAAAGCCAGTGTGACCTCCACAAAGTGAGTGCAAAAAAAAAAAAAAACGCGTTCAAAAAGTGGGTTAAAACATGCTTTTCATTCAACTGGAATATGTTTGGGTTTTTCCTGCTCTAGATGCACCGACTGAACTGCTCTGCAGGTTTCTAGTGATCATAGAAGTTGAATATAGATACAAAAGCACAAATTTCATCAGTGGCAGATTTTTTTTCACTTTAAACATGTATGAAAAAATGTGCCAGTGGAGCCTTTAGATCTACATTCAACTATTGACGATCAATAATCCTGCTGAGAAGTTACTTGTAAGTTTGTTTGGCCTTATTTCAAATGTATTTATTTCAACTGCAGACCCGGAACGATCAACTCCATATAAACGGGTCAAATTAGAGATTCAGCTCTAATAGTGGAGGGGAGAATCTCCTGTATTTGTCCTTCCTGTAGGAAAACATTTCTTTCACATTTTTTCCAGACTAAACGTTGCGATGCAGAAGTTGCAGCTTCAGGTGGCAACGTGACCGTGGCAACTGTTGCTGAGACACATTTGGTTGTTTTGATGCTTTTCTCACTTGAATCTTGTTCGTTACCTTGGAAATCTGAGTTGGGTTGGACAGTCGAGTCGAGGTAGCAGGGTTTTAAATAAATCAGGCAACATCCTGTTTGCAGCAGCTCTGGATCATTTTAAACATCACTTTGCATGAGAACACTTTATCTGTTCATTTAGTTTCTACAGAGGCTTGTGGCAATAAATGAATTAACTGCATCAATTCAAACCAGCTCAATCTCCATTTTGTTTTTCTCTCTAAGAGCTGGATGACTAAAGTCTTCATTCTGGTTCTTTGGTCTTCTCTGGGCCTTTTCTTGAGACTAATCTCCTTTATTTTGAATATGGAAAATGTCTTCCTGTTTTGTGTTAAATGCTGATTAGAATTTAAAGTTTCTTTGAAAATGTGCTCTTGCGTAATTTCATTATTGGCATATTACTTGAAAATCTCAGGTCATCAATATCAACTAATGAAGCCTCACCGACACCAACATCACAAATGCTGAAATGCAAAGACATCCAGTTGAAATACATAAACCTGCCATGACTTTAAAAGCCTGACGTCGTCGCGTATGTAGCCGCTGGTACTGCGCAAATATGAAGCCGATCAACTTAAGGAGAAATACAAAACTGACACAGTTGAAAGTACAAATGAAATCTTTATGCATTTTTCCTCATCAAAACAAACGAAGCTCATCCAATCCATAAACTGATTTTCGCCGCCTGTCTGCCTGGTGGCCACACGAGGCAGCAGGCTGCTTGCTACAAGTCTTCTCTGCCTCATCTACAGTAAACAACTTCTCAGAAAACATGCTTGATTTTTCAACAAACTTTTTGCATTCAAACATTTTATTTTGGTAAAATCTTACATTTTTTTTTTTTTTTGTTGCACAGCCGAGTACTTCCCCCTCCCCCTCTTCCTCCATGCAGTGCAGCAGCCTAGAGGCTAACACAGAAAAGCAAAGTCTACATCTAAACAGCTCCGGGGTTTCTCCAGAGATTGAGCAACAAGTCTCGGGTTCTGCTTGCGATTCAGAGCTGAAGACCTGTTCCTCAGCCACTGAGAACTCGACAGGCGTCATATATGCAAAAGTACAACAAGGAGAATAAACCACATGTTTGTTTCTTTAAGGATTGCCATGTGCCAGACATTGACTAGAAAAAAAAAAGAAAGCAATCAGGTCAAATTAGACTAAAGGATTAATGCACACAGTTGGAGAATCTGAACACTTCTGCACTGATATGCTTAGGAAATCTATTTGCTCTTTTGAAAGCTTTGCTCCAAACCTTGGCATGTTTGCTCAAATCCACTTTGAATTTTGATGACCAATTGGGAAATTCTAATAGATGGCTGGCCATGTGGAGGCCTCTGAAACAGCTGTGGATATTAGAAACTGAGTCCAATGGATCGTATACATTTAAAAAGCTCACACTACCCCGAAATATATAAATTTCACGCATACAGGTGACATTCAACATTCAAGTGCCAGTGTTTTTTGTACTGTCTTTTGGTCAAGTTTCTGAAACTTTCAAAGAATCACTTAAGAGGCTTACAAAAATAAATATTTGTCAAAAATGCTTAATAAATTACACAAAACTAGCAGCAAAAGTAGAATCTAGAAATCTGTGCAAATGGCTAAATTCCCCCCCCCAGACTGCTAAATCCCCCTGGTCCCAAATAAATCCTGGATTTCAACGTTGAGAACCCTTCCCCCTTTGTAAACAAGCTGCGTTTTTTTTTTGTGGGTTCCTCCTCTCTCTCTCGCCACAAACTCCTCACACACAATATTTGGAAGCTTAAGGACACATATCAGAGACATCTATATAAAACTCTAGATGTGCAATAAAACAACTTTAGTAAAACTCGATGGGCTCGATGTACGAGGGCCTACACATATCAAGTAGCACCATTCAATCTCTCAATACTGTCAGTGCATCCGCTTTTCAGATTGAAAGAAAAAAAAATTAAAGGTTTCAAGGCACATCACACCTGATGAGGACTGGGGAGCATTCCGTATTCGACTCCTGCTCCTCTTCCAGAGGAAAAGCTGCTCCGAATTTTTTTTTCTTTTTTCTTCTTGATACTACCTAAATGTTCCATACAGAAGGTAGGACACCTTCCGATCTTTGGCCACCTTCAGTTTTGTGAATAAACCAAATGGCGGTGCACTGGAAAAAAAAAAAGCCCTGACCCACACCCCCGCCCCGTGTGGTTGGAGTGCTGCTCCCCAACGTAAACCACCCCCTCCCACCCGTTTTCCCCCGCTGGTTATTTGAAAACCTCAGTGATTACGCCAATGTCCCGTCTCCTAACGATGAACCACGCCTCCAACGCAGCTTGAAAAAGAGAAAAACGTTAGTAATTAAGTTAAGCCTGCGACTCAAGTTCACCTGTCCTTTCTCCCTTGACCAAAAAACAAAAACACTTGCAAGCGTAAAATACCCAATGTTGTGGTCCTTTTGTGCAGCCATTTTGAACTTCACTTTCAAGATGGCAGGCATTGCTTCGATACACCTTTCTTTTTTGTAGAGAAACGATTAAAAAAAGAAAACCTGACTGGGGTTTTTCCAAAAGATTTTGCATACGCCTGCTCTGAGAACGTCTCAAGTAAAAAGCAACAAAAAACACCGTCCACTGATCTTTTTCTTTTAAAGTAGCTAGCGCTTGGTAACAGACTAGCTGCCGTAACACTGTCAAGTCTATCGGAAAGCGTGGAGTTCCAGCATTGGTTTCTTGGTTTTTGTACCTCAGCGATTGTTGGCACTGAGCTTAACGACTGCTGTGTTTAAGATTACGTCAGGAATGGCTAAATAAGAAAAAAACCAAAAAAAACCAACCATGTCCCTAAACAGAGCCTGTCCAGGATAGAGTGAGCAGAAAACAAAAAGAAGAGAACATTAATGGAACTTTGTCCCCCCTTCGGATTAAAACGGCGGCTTCACACAGTGGCCCAGTTTTAGAGAAACTAATGGCTCCATTAGCTGTTTGACAATAGAAAAAGGCTACATGATGTTAGAAATTTGAGGTTCAAATGGAATCATGACTCCAAGAGCCACAACACCCAGAGTTTGCCAAGGTTTAAGTCCAAGCTTATTTCAACTTAGTTTCTTTTTTCTTTTTTTGACTTTTTTTTTTTTTTCCCAAACTAAATCTTTAAAACAAATTTTGAGCTCTTGGCCATGTTCATCTGGTGAAATGACAACATATATTTCCTGGTTAAATTCAAAAAGGCACAGTACATCAACATACAAATAATCCTCAGGTTACCCGGTTTGCGGGGTGGCGGGCCCCGCAGTAAGAACAAAAATACTTTTTCTGAACGATGAAAAGTCCGAGGTTGCGGTCGGACAGTGCATGTAAGCATCCATGCTCGCTCTGAGGTGTGCAAAATCTCTGCGGCGCCCCCTGGCGGTCGGCACGTGCTGGTGATTTTCTTTGCGTCGTGCTGCGCTTCCTTTCGGGGGAAAGAAGCCGGTGGCAGAGAACTGGGGTTGTAATGTACTGTCTGTCAGTGGAGCTACACAGGGAGGGTTTGTTATGGTCTGGCTTAGGTTAACATGTGGTTTCCAGCAGGTTGGCATGACAACCTGTTCCTATGGTGTTTAGTTCCCCCACCAATCTACGCTACCAGAGTGGTTGTAATTTCCGCCGTAGCCATCGTTGTAGAAGTTGCCGCCGAAGCCACCTGGGAGGAGAAAGTCAGAAGGTCAGAGGAATCGACCAGTTTGGGAAACAGAAAGGTGAACGTCATGGCAGTACAAAAACACTTTAAAGGGGCAGCTTTATGTCATTTCCAGGCACAAAGACACACTTTAGATGTTATAAAATTTCTATTTATATCAACCATATTTATTTGATATAAATAAATATAATTAACACCTTAAAAAGTGGACGTCTGTCTCTTTAAGAAGCTCATGCTCTTTGTGAAACTCCGCCTTCAGGACGTCATCACAACTCGGCTCCTCTATTAACCTGTTAACCTTTTTACCAGCGTTGTTCTAAATAGCAGCTGGGATAAGTTCAGTGGATGTGCAGCGCCACCAGGTGTTTGTTCCTCAGACTAGCCAGAAACTATTAGCAAT